TTTCCCTTTTCCATTCTCTACCACTCTGATTATTATCATCGAATTAAAATGAAATTATGGTTTAGTGGCTTCTTATCACATCCAAGCACAAACATTATAATGCAAACCAAATTCGACAAGCATTTCGAATGTCTAGACCTATCCAGACGCGATAATACAATTTCCATACATTTTACAGACTGTGCTGAAAAACACAACTGACAGTGACTTTATTACAGTGAAAATGACCTTGATTATTCCAACAATCTTAATTGCTATCAATTATCAATTGATGTCCTTTATCCAAACGATTAAGTCATTCTACTTTACCACTCGATTAACACGAACGAGCTTAGCGTGTTGCATATATCATAAAATTAGTTGATGTTTTCTCAAATTCATTACAAAGACGTTTATAAGAGATTACTTCTACGTCAAGCAACAAAGACCTTGCTTATCTCTAGTTGAACTCGTTTTAAGAAACATAAACGCCGCTATTAAGACTATATTGGAGCTCCTATAAGAAAGGAACTACATTCTATACAACAGATCTCGAGAAGAAGAAAAAAACATACTTTCTGAAGCTGCGTTAAGAATAATTGAAAAATCATACTAATTGTTAATGGAAAAGTAACAGGGAATCTAGTTAAAAGCACTAAAATATTAAAAACGTGAGACAAATCACGAGAACAATTATAACCATTTTATTCGTCTCTATGCTATAAAAAACTTCACATATGAGAATGTTATAATTGCCATAACTATTACTAATCTTAACACCATCTTTAGCATCGATCTTCAATAATTTGTTCTCTCTCATTCTAAACACACAAAGCCTACACAAGATATACGTCCAATCGATTGATAAACTCACAGTGAATTAAATGGTGAATTTTATTTATCTGTGTGAACTTGACATGAGTGCTCAGAACCAACACTAACAAGAGTCATTTAACGGCGAACAAGCTAGAACAACACGCCAAACACTATCGCGTGTGTTTCTAAGGTATCGAGTGTATCACGCCTAGCTCGGTCTCCCGTCTATGGCTGATTATTGTCTACTGAATTTATATGAGAGACAATGATATAATAAGCTATTCTCTGGATTTGCGTATGAACTGAATCGACAATACACGATCATCTACCCGTAGTTGTGTGTTCATATATTGCGAGAAGAGACAGACAAGGAATAATAAGACAAACTGCAGAAAAATAGTTGCAAGTCGGCGAGACGGCATCTGCTATCACATGTTGTGTGCACTATATGTGTTTCTTTGTTGTGACATACTTTAGCATATGCCACACAACAATTTCAGGCTCTTTTAAGTATGTAGTTGCTGACTGAACACATACGACTAAAACGCGATATGATGACGTTTGTCGTTTTGATTTTTTGAACTGCTTATAATAAGTTACTATTATGTAGATTAATATTTTTGAATTAAAAATGGCTCATCTATGTTGCTTAAGAGAGAAAATTAGCCACACACATCATGCTCACAGTATACACCACTAGTGCAGCGAAAGATGTTCCAATAGTCAAACTTTACACAACATCGCTGACTCTCCGCAAAAAAGTCCACCACTCGCGAAAGAACTAGGCGTGTCTATGCACATCCTACAGATAGATTACACCACAGCGTGATGAATTCATATAGATCCACACGGCACAGAAAAATATTGTCAGAAAACTTGACACTCACAGAAAAACGCACAAAACTGTTCCCAAAGTAATTCACTCAAGCGCATAGACGAAAACTCCACTGTCAAAAGGAATCGATGCATCTTGTAGAAGCATCAAATTCAGCCAGTATAAAAACATACGCGGTTCCACCACTGCGAGTCCAAGTATATTAGAAAGAGAAACTTGATTAAAAGACTATTGCAAAGTTTTAAAAAACAACGTGAAAAGCAACCATTAAAGAACATGCGTTACATTTTATTACAACCATAGTCAAAAAAACATTATCGGATTAATAACATTCCAGACTTATTAGAAACTCATACACGATGATAATATCCACATTCCTGTATTACAGACATACACTGTGTAGCCAATCACACAATAAGAGCTCAACATCCCCGTGATCTCAAACCATCAATGGAAATTCAACAACTGTCGTTGTGTATACATGCTATATTTCAACATCGTTTAATACATGCATGATTCAAACATCGCTTAATACATGCATATTCAACAATCGTGTAATCATGCATGATTCAACATCGGTCTAATACTATGACTATGATTATACAAACATTCTATGGTGCTCACATACAGAGCAATGATATATCAACTTCCGTGTGTTAAAATATCATGTCAAGACAGAACAATCACACGTAAAACTAAACACTCACTTGCATAAGATTCAACATCGAGTGAGAGGTACACAAATACATGCATATGATTCCACAAACACTCACTTTAAACACCATGCAATACCTATCACTCATCCCAAAAATATAACATAAATCTATAGCGAGAATGATACTCAACTACATAACTTGTTTTCTATCATGCATGGAACAAACATCCTAGCGAGTTTACAAGACATGATATGAGGACTTCAACATCTCCCAGACTGGTAATACAAATGCTACATCACAACAACACCTGCTTACAGTGTAATCTATGCTATGAAGTCAAACTAAAGCGTGTCAATACTATGCATTTGACATCACATCTCAATAACAGGTTTTACATGTCTACATTGCATGACTTCAAAAACACCCACGAATATTAGAAATACCATCGATGACTCAACGAGCTTGTATGCTATCACACTAGCAAGTGTAATATTCCAAACATCACACAGGGAGATAATATAATACATCCATCGATTTATCTATCTATCCTGGTTCAATCACATATCCGATTAGTATCACACCAACAGGTGCTCAAACCACACCCACTACTGATCAGACGATGCGGGTGTTTACATACAGTCCCCATATTAAAACTCACAAGTAATTAAAGGATCAAAGTCAAAGATTATAACATTCACGTTACATGCATCAAATCTTTAAACATGCAATTCACGCAGTCCGCATACCGACCACACATCGTATATATGCATCATATTAAACACCCCAATTTAAAGCATCGAAGATTTTAAACATCAAGTTTAAAACATCGATGTTTAAACAAGGCAATTTTAAAAGCATCGATGTGTAACATCAATTTTAAAGCATCGATGTTAAAACATCATATTTTTAAAGATCATGTTTAAACATCCAATTTTAAACATCGAGTTTAAAACATCAATTTTTAAAACATCGATGTTTTAAACATCAATTTAAAACATCGATGTTTAAACATCAATTTTAATAACATCATGTTTAAACACAAATGTTAAAAAACATCGACGTGTAATACATCGTTGTTTCTACAAAATCATCGAAGTTTCGAAAAACACGGTGT